GTTTTGTAGAAAACATGGAAACACCAGAGACGCTTTAATATGCTATGCATTTTATTAGACAGGTGACGACCGCACAGAGTAGCATTATAACAGAACTTTCAAACGTATCTAGTATGATAAAACAGCGCTGCTTACTTCCGCTTATTTCCCAAAGGAGCGGAAGCGGTCGACTGTGGCATAATAAAAGCTCCGCTGCTTTCGAGCCATGTGTCGTGCTCATTCAGCGGCCTCGTTTCGCTTCGACGGCTTTCCGCCTCACTCTGCTTCATACTACGACGTTAATAAATCTTTAATACATTAGCTCATCCATGAACATGATTTCTGCCTGAGTCCCATCAGATTGTATCGGCTGTGGGGATAAAGACGACAACTCCCATGATTCCACACTCAGTCACGATGTCATCTAACTATGCCTTTGTTTCTTTGTTTGTTTTCAATACGTGCCCTCTAGTGGCAAAAAATTACATATTGTGCCTTTAACCGGACGAATTCTACTGCCGCTGCTATTTGAGCAGCCTCCTAGAACCACACTCTGTAAGTTTTGAGTTTGTGTCGGTACACACAGCCCCGCCTATCCCCTGCCAGCGGAAGAGTGTGACCTGCTTTACGGCATACGTCACATATTTTACTCGTAGCCTGGGTGGAGTTAGCCAACAGCTAATTATAAGACAAAATGATCTAATATTCAAGTCTCAAAACCAACGGCATGTGTACCACACTGTAAAAAAAATTCCGTAAAATTTACGGTAAAAAAACGGCAGCTGTGGTTGCCGGAATTTTACCGTAAAAAATATGGTAGCAACGTTTTAGGTGGAACGAGACACTGCGTCCTCTAGGGGTCGCTATGGGGAACGCCTCGTCGTGACCCGTGTCTGAAGCATACATTGAAAAAACACCAACTCGTTGGCCGGCGACAGCCATGACGTCACTACTGGTGCCTAATTGCACAGCGTCTACTACATATGTGGAGAGAAAAGGGGTGTTCTGATGACACATTTTGACTGCTTCATTTCACTTCCAAAAGATTATTACTATCCTGGTTCAGCTGACATGTAAGATCATATTTTTGATTTTTTTGGCGCGACACAAGTTTTCAATATTGTAAAATAATACATGTTAGTTTAATGTTAGCTTTTTAAAGTGGTTTGTTTGTCTGTCTCCATGGTTGAAGTCTGCTGTCCTTTTCAGCAAAGGGCTAATTTAAGTCTGTGTGGGAAAAAAAAAAAAAAGTATATGCTTTTGGTCCAACTGTAGTTCACTGTAGTTTTCCCTCTCCATTTATAGAACACTCATCTGTCATTTCCTCTTAGGCCAAAGTTCTGAAGATAGTGACTTTATTAACTATAGTATTTTAACTGCTCACAGTGCCTCCATGTGGTGTTTGCTGGTACTGAACCACTAGTGAGAGGAATAGACAAGTCATTGTTGAGTTGTAATATATATA